ATTGTGTTTGGGAATGGGGAAACAGTTGATTTTTTCATTTCCGTTTTATTAAATTACAGCTGATATAGGAAATGAAGAAAACGCTTGCGTTTAAACGTGTATTTGATTTACAAATAACTTATATACTCTATATGTATATATAAACGAAATTTATCCCTCAGGTAACTTATAGAAATCTGTAATAGGTCTAACAGAGAACGCACGTCCGGAAATCCCTAAAGTTTTGCATAGAAAATATATAGTATGTATATAAGTATATAATATTTACGAACGGGCACACATATACAGGGTAGTCATCTTTGTTAGAAAATCTTATCATTCTATTTTGGCATCCGGACATTTTATAATTTTCATATTTTATTCTAATACCGCTTTTAGCACTTTCGAGATTATTATAAACTTTTTCTTGTGGCACATTGTTGATCACTAATTTAGAAAGAAGGACAAAAGAATGTTCGTACGAATGTTCAAAATTAATTGTTGATCCAATCTTTGTCCTTGAATAATAATTGTCCTCAAAACATGAGTTGTAAACACTTGGTTCATAAATTTTATAAATAAATAATAAATAAATAACTGTCTTAAATATAATGACAAGTAATGATTTCATTCTTGTATTTTTAATTTGCATCATTTAGTAAATGAAAATAACTTAAACGTTATTTACTGAACTGTCAAGGACGATCATTTGTTTTCTTACTTAAATAGAGCAATAATTACTACATTTAATATTATACATAATATATGGTGTAAATATGAGAATAACTGTAAGAAATGATGGCTCAATTTTGTCATTTTTTAATAGTATTTTTCAATCGTTGATTCGAGTAAAGGAAGAATATTATTATCTTTATATTATACTGAATTGAAGTAGATACTTTTTTAAAATTTAAAAACCAAATATTTGGGTTTATATTGCACTTAAAAAATTCATGTTTCTCGAGGGAAACGTCGTTTTCTTAAAACGCTTGCTGCCATTTTCCCTATAAAGATTTAAACTCGCCATATTGCGTGTACAACGATTTACACTTTCGAGAGAGTATCAAAAAGATAGTAAATGTCCAATATTTTTTAAATGTATAATGCATGGTACTTTGAGTCAAAAGTATACAAGTATACAAGATGAAAAATTATTATAATACATTTGAACTAACCCTTTCAAAACTGAACTAC